CAGACCACTTGACTTTCTCCCATTCCTCCTCTGGATCATCCAGATGGTCATTGGCAAACTTCAGACGGGCCTGGACATGCGCTGGCTTGAGCAGGGGGACCTTGCGTGCGCTGCAGGCTTTTAATCCATGACGGCGTAGTGTGTTACTAATGGTTTTCTTTGAGACTGTGGTCCCAGCTCTCTTCAGGTCATTGACCAGGTCCTGCCGTGTAGTTCTGGGCTGATCCCTCACCTTCCTCATGATCATTGATGCCCACGAGGTGAGATCTTGCATGGAGCCCCAGACTGAGGGTGATTGACCGTCATCTTGAACTTCTTCCATTTTCTAATAATTGCGCCAACAGTTGTTGCCTTCTCACCAAGCTGCTTGCCTATTGTCCTGTAGCCCATCCCAGCCTTGTGCAGGTCTACAATTGTATCCCTGATGTCCTTACACAGCTCTCTGGTCTTGGCCATTGTGGAGAGGTTGGAGTCTGTTTGATTGAGTGTGTGGACAGGTGTCTTTTATACAGGTAACGAGTTCAAACAGGTGTAGTTAATACAGGTAATGAGTGGAAAACAGGAGGGCTTCTTAAAGAAAAACTAACAGGTCTGTGAGAGCCGGAATTCTTACTGGTTGGTAGGTGATCAAATACTTATGTCATGCAATAAAATGCATATTAATTACTTAAAAATCATACAATGTAATTTTCTGGATTTTTGTTTTAGATTCCGTCTCTCACAGTTGAAGTGTACCTATGATAAAAATTACAGACCTCTACATGCTTTGTAAGTAGGAAAACCTGCAAAATCTGCAGTGTATCAAATACTTGTTCTCCCCACTGTATGTACAAGCAATGACAGAGCGGCATGGACTAAGATACAGAAGATTATTATAGAATAGAATGCAGTATATACATATGAGATGAGTAGTGCAAGATATGTAAACATTATTAAAGTGACTAGTGTTCCATTTCTTAAAGTGGCCAGTGATTTCAATAGGCAGCAGCAGCCTCTATTGTCCTAGTGATGGCCTTGAGATAGAAGCTGTTTTTCATTCTCTCGGTCCCAGCTTTGATGCACCTGTACTGACCTCGCCTTCTAGATGATAGCGGGGTGAACAGGCAGTGACTCAGGTGGTTGATGTCCTTGATGATCTTTTTGGCCTTCCTGTGACATCGGGTGCTGTATGTGTCTTGGAGGGCGGGTAGTTTGCCCCCGGTAATGCGTTAAGCAGACCGCACCACCCTCTGGAGAGCCCTGCGGTTGTGGGCAGTGCAGTTGCCATACCAGGCAGTGATACAGAGCCCTCACCTCCTCCCTGGAGGCGGTCTCGTCATTGTTGGTAATCAAGCCTACTACTGTTGTGTCGTCTGCAAACTTGATGATTGAGTTGGAGGCGTGCTTGGCCACGCAGTCATGGGTGAACAGGGAGTACAGGAGGGGGCTGAGCATGCACCCTTGTGGGGATCCAGTGTTGAGGATCAGAGAAGTGGAGATGCTGTTTCCTACCTTCACCACCTGGGGGCGGCCCGTCAGGAAGTCCAGGACCCAGTTGCACAGGGCGGGGTTCAGACCCAGGGCCTCGAGCTTAATGATGAGCTTGGAGGGTACTATGGTGTTGAATGCTGAGCTATAGTCAATGAACATCATTCTTACATAGGTATTCCTCTTGTCCAGATGGGATAGGGCAGTGTGCAGTGTGATGGCGATTGCATCGTCTGTGGATCTATTGGGGCGGTAAGCAAATTGAAGTGGGTCTAGGGTGACAGGTAAGGTAGAGGTGATATGATCCTTGACTAGTCTCTCAAAGCACTTAATGATGCCAGAGGTGAGTGCTACAGGGCGATAGTCATTTAGTTCAGTTACTTTTGCTTTCTTGGGTACAGGAACAATGCTGGCCCTCTTGAAGCATGTGGGAACAGCAGACTGGGAAAGGGAGAGATTGAATATGTCCATGAACACACCAGCCAGCTGGTCTGCGCATGCTCTGAGAACGCGGCTAGGGATGCCGTCTGGGCCGGAATCCCTGCGGGGGTTAACATGCTTAAATGTCTTAATCACGTCGGCCATGGAGAAGGAGAGGCCACAGTCCTTGGTAGTGGGCCTCGTCAGTGGCACTGTGTTATCCTCAAAGCAGGCGAAGAAGGTGTTTAGCTTGTCTGGAAGTGAGACGTCGGTGTCCAAGACGTGGCTGGTTTTCTTTTTGTAGTCCGTGATTGTCTGTAGACCCTGCCACATACGTCTCGTGTCTGAGCCGTTGAATTGTGACTCCACTTTGTCTCTATACTGATGTTTTGCCAGTTTAATTGCCTTGCGGAGTGAGTAGCTACACTGTTTGTATTCTGCCATATTCCCAGTCACCTTGCCATGGTTGAATGCAGTGGTTCGCGCTTTCAGATTTGCTCGAATGCTGCCGTCTATCCACGGTTTCTGGTTAGGGTATGTTTTAATAGTCACAGTGGGCACAACATCACCTATACACTTCCTGATAAACTCAGTCACTGTTTCAGTGTATATGTCTAAATTATTTTCAGAAGCTACCCGGAACATATCCCAGTCCGCGTGATCAAAACAATCTTGAAGCGTGGATTCCGATTGGTCAGATCAGCGTTGAATAGTCCTTAGCACGGGTACTTCCTGTTTGAGTTTCTGCCTATAGGAAGGGAGAAGCAAAATAGAGTTGTGGTCAGATTTGCCGAAAGGAGGGCGGGGGAGGGCCTTATAACCATCCCGGAAGTTTGAATAGCAATGGTCGAGGATTTTAGCAGCGCGAGTACAACAGTCGATATGTTGATAGAACTTCGGCAGCCTAGTACTCAAATTTGCTTTGCTAAAATCCCTGTCTACAATAAATGCAGCCTCAGGATATGTGGTTTCCAGTTTGCATAAGGTCCAGTGAAGTTCTTTGAGGGCCGTCGTGGTATCTGCTTGAGGGGGGATATACACGGCCGTGACTATAACCGAAGAAAATTATCTTGGGAGATAATACGGTCGGCATTTGGTTGTGAGATATTCTAGGTCGGGTGAACAGAAGGACTCGAGTTCCTCTATGTTACTACAATTACACCATGAGTCGTTAATCATGAAACACACACCTCTGCCCTTCTGCTTCCTGGAGAGATATTTATTCCTGTCTGCGCGATGAACTGAGAACCCATCTGGCTGGACCGATTCCGAACAGAATATCCCAAGAGAGCCATGTTTCCGTGAAACAGAGTATGTTACAGGCCTTGATGTCTCTCTGGAAAGAAATCCTTGCCCGTAGTTCGTCAACTTTGTTAACCAAAGATTGAACATCAGCGAGTAGAATACTTGGAAGTGGTGGGTGGTGTGCGCGCCTCCTAAGTCGGACCAGCAGGCCGCTCCGAGTGCCTCTCCTCCGCCGGCGATGTTTTGGGTCAGCCGCTGGAATCAGTTCAGTTGCCCGAGGGGAGAGCAAACAAAGGATCTGCTTCGGGAAAGTCGTATTCCTGGTCGTAATGCTGGTGAGTTACCGCCGCTCTGATATCCAATAGTTTTCCCGGCTGTATGTAACGATGCAAAACACTTTCTGAGCTAATAATGTAAAAAATAATACATCAAAAAAACAAAATACTGCAAAGTTTCCTAAGAGCTAGTCGCGAGGCCGCCATCTTAATTGGGGAGAACGGGCTCATGGTAATGACTGGAGCGGAATTAGTGGAATGGTATCAAATACATCAAACACATGGTTTCCATGTATTTGATGCCATTCCATTTGGTTCGTTCCGGCCATTTATTATGAGCCGTTCTCCCCTCAGCAGCCTCCTGTGCCCAACACACACATACACACCTCAACACACACATACACTTTTTTGCACTAACTCTCCTGCACTGACTCTATGCACACACACTGGACTCTACCCACACACTCACACATACTTACACTGACACCCCAACACAAACATACACACACACATAACATGCCGTGCGCACACATGCTTACTGACGCCATACACACACTCACCACATACGCTGCTGTTACTGTCTACTATTTATCCTGTTGCCTAGTCACTTTACCCCTACCTATATGTACATACAGTAGCTACCTCAATTACCTCGTACCCCTGCACATTGACTCAGTACTGGTACTCCCTGTATATCAGTGGAGGCTGCTGAGGGGAGGACGGTTCATAATAATTGTTGGAACAGAGCAAATGGAATGGCATCAAATCATGTGTTTGATGTATTTGATACCATTCCAGTAACTCCGCTCCAGCTATTACCATGAGCCCGTCCTCCCCAATTAAGGTGCCACCAACCTCCTGTGCTGTATACTTCCTGTATATAGCCATGTTATTTTTTACTCATTATTGTTATTTTTTATTCACTGTGTATTTATTCCTTGTGTCACTATTTCTATTTTGGTTTTTGTCTTTAACTCTGCATTGTTGGAAAAGGACCCGTAAGTAAGCATTTCACTGTTAGTCTACACCTGTTGTTTACGAAGCATTGATTTGATTAGATTTTCTGTCCCAATTGTATTTTCCAGTTCAAATAGTATTTCACACATGTATTTGGCCCAGGTCTGGTCCCAACTGCCTTTCCCTTGCCAGTCACTGTCCATTATTGTTTAATTATTTCCGCATTTACACCTGTCTGTCTTTCCTGTTCTACATAATATATTTATTATGTCATTTTAGAACCATATAGGCCTACAGTGAGTGTATACACTGTACCTTACTAGTCATACAGTGAAGCTTGCAGTATCCCACATTTCAGAGCTGAACGCCTGACTATTGGGACTTCCACTCACGCGGTCTCACACTTTTCTAACACTTGTGCTGGGTTATAGTTGTTACAAAACGGTGTATTGTCCCACTAAAATCGATTTTTAGCGTAGATGATAAGAAGCCTTACTCAATTGGTGCCGCGTTATCTAGCAAGCAAGCTGATCGTGTCTGGTGGTTACAGACGAAAAAGTCACACTTTCTCCTGAGAAGCCATGTGCCTACTCCGTAACGAATGGAGGAACGGGCATGCCAGTTATAGGCGCACCCATATATAAGTCCTCCAGTTACCAACCCAAGCCACGACAACATTCTACTGTCATCTCTTACCACAACTTAGTCAACAAGCAGTGGCTTTATACACAGGGCATTGAATCAAGTCATTTCAGTTTTATTAGAATGGAGTACCAAAAAGCATCAGAGATTAACGGCGTCTGCAATGGAAAAATTGTTACAGAATATCTCAACGGGTTCAGTGAAACATCCATAGAGGCAAAAAAAGCTGAATTGATGGGCAAGGAGGAGAAGTCCCACAAGGAGTCAGAGGATGTGTGCAAGATATCTGCCATTGAAGGAGCCTACGGCATCGTGCTTCGAGAACTGGGAGAAGACGTGGAACGTGAGGGTCTACTGCGCACACCATTACGCGCGGCCAAAGCAATGCAGTTCCTCACCAAAGGTTATCACGAGACAGTAAATGGTGAGAGCATTGACTGTCCTGCATAAATAGTTGTAAATGTGTTTAATTTATTCTAAAAGATATGATAGATAATGAGGGAGATTGTTCTCCTTGTCGTTAGAACATCACAATCTTAAAATGTCCTGTTCTTTACAGTTGTATTATGCATTTAATGTGTGGTCTTATATATTTACACTAGCCTATTTCAAACTAATTTAGCCTTGCTCATTCCTCAGGCTGTACTGACAACACAGCTACAGTGAAAGTTGATATGTGTGTACAATTCATTTAGCTTTGGAGATATCAGACCTCCACTGTTATTTTAAACATTACTGGAAACAACCATAGACACATACATCATTGGAAGCAAAAAAGTGTAATTCAGATTTTGACTAGCTATTCATTTTGAGTTTTCATTGTATTCTATAGGGTCCATCATCAGGTCACATTCTATTTGCTGCAATGAGCGTGGTCCATTACTTTAGATTTTCCTTATGACACTCTGCTAATTGAGATCGCAAGTAGCGAAAACTCATTATGGATACAAAGCTGCAATCTGGAGTTGGGTAAAACAATTGTTCCACTTGTCTCTCTTACCTCTTCTTCCTCAGACATCCTGAACAATGCCATTTTTGACGAGAACCACAACGAGATGGTGATCGTGAAGGACATTGAAATGTTCTCTCTCTGTGAGCACCATCTCGTGCCCTTCTTTGGCAAGGTGAAAACCAATGAAGTATAATGAAGCCACGAAGCCGTACATGTGTATTATTTGGACTTACATAGCAGCAGTTTGGATAATTTGATACATATAACACTCAGAACATCCCTTGTTGAATTATTTTGTTGAAATTCTGCTAATGTCAATGATAAATGGTTAAAAAAATCAATAATTCAGAAATTATTGATTATTGAATTTGCTACTGTATGCTTTGTTTCACCACAACAGGTTCACATTGGATATCTTCCAAACAATAAAGTGGTTGGTCTGAGCAAGCTGGCAAGGTCAGTGATCATATTCATTTGCTATGATATTCACAAAGATATGCACACATGCACGCACACACACACAGACATGCGCACGCACGCATGCACACAGACACAGACACATGCGCAGACATGCACATTCTGAGTTACTTGGTACTGTACTAACTTCCCCTTTTATTGCTTCATTTATTTCAGGATTGTTGAAATCTTCAGCAGGAGGCTTCAAGGCAAGTATCCTTTGGTCTTTTGGCAGATCATTCGGTATTACTATCTCTGAGCAGCTTGCTGAGAGAGTCTGTGGGTTTGAATGTATCAAGAGTATTAACCTCTGTTCCTTGTTTGTTGTTCCCTCTACAGTGCAGGAACGCCTGACCAAGCAGATCGCTACAGCAATCTCAGAGGCCTTAGAGCCTGCAGGCGTAGCAGTCGTCATTGAGGCAGCGTGAGTGTCTTTTTACTATGTATTATGTGTCTTGTACATGTGTATTACATGTGAACTACATTGTATTGCTCCATATATGTATATGCAGAACTAATGCAAACCTATGCTACACCAACTGTGTCAAGTATTATGTCATGGCTGACAGGATGTTGTTAAGCCCACCTATGTTAGATCAATTCATTCAATTAATCAAAGAGTTGTTTTTAAGAGTGCACCAGTTTATTTATCTGTTTTTATTATAACAACTGAGTTTGGACCATTGTATTGTGTGTTTCAGTCATATGTGCATGGTGATGAGGGGTGTGCAGAAGATGAACAGCAAGACCGTGACAAGCGCCATGCTGGGACTCTTCCAAGAGGATCCCAAGACCCGGGAAGAGTTCCTGGCTCTGATAAAAAACAACTGACCCACTTGGGCCATTGTTACCTCACCCTGTCTTTCCAAGCAAAAACAGCAATCTCTCCAGCTATTGCCAAACAATGCATTTCATTCTTTCATTGATCTTAGCTAAGTATGTTCTGTGTCAGGTAGGGGCAGTTATCTTAGTTCATTCCAATACGGGTGCAAGGGGGGGGGGCAACTCTTCATGGCCGGTAGCACCGCATTTGAAGGAATATTTTCCAACTATCTGTGAAAGTACCAAACCTGGGTTGAAATACTATTTGAAATCTTTTGAGCGCTTTTCTCTAGTGTGCCTGGAGTGCGAGATGCGGTGTTTGCAGTTTGGGACAATCGCTAAAACTGATATATCAGGGAGTCATGATCAGGGATTAAAAACCCTAAGGACCTTGATAACTTTATAAGTTATGTGTAGTCCTTGGATCGTTTCATATTACAGTGGGGGGAAAAAGTATTTAGTCAGCCACCAATTGTGCAAGTTCTCCTAATAATTGCTCCCACAGTTGATTTCTTCAAACCAAGCTGCTTACCTATTGCAGATTCAGTCTTCCCAGCCTGGTGCAGGTCTACAATTTTGTTTCTGGTGTCCTTTGACAGCACTTTGGTCTTGGCCATAGTGGAGTTTGGAGTGTGACTGTTTGAGGTTGTGGACAGGTGTCTTTTATACTGATAACAAGTTCAAACAGGTGCCATTAATACAGGTAACGAGTGGAGGACAGAGGAGCCTCTTAAAGAAGAAGTTACAGGTCTGTGAGAGCCAGAAATCTTGCTTGTTTGTAGGTGACCAAATACTTATTTTCCACCATAATTTGCAAATAAATTCATTATAAATCCTACAATGTGATTTTCTGGATTTTCTTTTCTCATTTTGTCTGTCATAGTTGACGTGTACCTATGATGAAAATTACAGGCCTCTCTCATCTTTTTAAGTGGGAGAACTTGCACAATTGGTGGCTGACTAAATACTTTTTTTCCCCACTGTAAGTGCTGCTGACAAAGGCCTCGCTGTACACACCTTCAGAGGGAACACCTTACTGTTACTGTATCACAAGTGCTTACATTGTTTCGATTTTTTCTAGTATTTTGGCTGTATATTATGTACATGGTATTCTTATAAACTTGAAGCTGAAATATGACCCTCATAACATTGACATTTGTTCTGTTTGGACTTAACTCTTGTGCTAGTAAGGGGTGTTAATATCTAGTTGTGCAATGGCTCAAGGTAATAATGATATAGGAGCATAACAATAACAAAGGAAATGTTCTGTAAATGCCTCTAACCCAAATGTTTTATCACGAGCATGATGATGCTCATGGTTAATTGTCGTGTTTGGAAAAAGTTTCCCCTTCTAGTTAATGTTAAACATTTTGATTTGTCATTCTTATGAGATTAAACATTACATTTACAAATAAATAAATATTTAACCTGCTATAAAGTTGCTTTCTTGGTTTTGTAATTAAGATATTTGCTTTAGGAAAAGAGTTGCCTCGATTTCCCGGATTCTACAAGCTGAATTAGTGCGGAGTGTGTTCATATTCATTAAAAGCATTTTTATATGTATTAAATATTAACCTGGATGAACAGGTATTCTTTGTTGAATAAGATACAGGTAACTGTCAAAATAAAGGAAATCCTTGAGTACAAAGCATGATGGGATAAAAAGTACTGCATACTGAAAGAAGGCACTTCCATACAGGTGTGATTCCTTAGTTAATTAAGCAATTAACATCCCATCATGCTTTGTAAATAAGGACGGTAAAATGATGTCACACAAGCAATTAACAAAGGTGTATGGAGATGTATGCTCAATACAAAAGTGTAACCCACTCATTGCAAAAATGGAAGAGGCAATTAACCAAAAGAGAAAGGAATTAATTGGTTTGTCTGCCACCAATGAAAAACCATGCATGACTTAATAAAATGACTAGTAAAAATAGTATCATATATCAGTTTCACTTAAAGTTGAGAGGTTTGACAACTGCCACGTAAAATTCAAGATAGTTGGGAACAGATTTTATGTCCAAATACCATTGCATCAGGTTTATGTGTCACGTCTCCTTCCGTTGCTCCCCTCCGGCGCTCTGATTCGCCGGTCTACTGAGCCACGGGTCTGAGCGCACCACCTCGACAACACCGGAATGGAAACCCAACGCACCCTAATCACCTCCAGCGCACCTGCACCTCATCACCACCCCTATTTAGCCCTGGACTGTATTGTGTTGTGTGTGATTGTTAAGCGTTGTGTTGTTTACGCGCTCCTTGTTATTTTCTTTCTCGTGATTAAATAAACCTTGACCTTGTTTATTCCTGCGTCTGCGTCCTGCCTCTTCGTATACTCAGTTCTCGTCACATTATAAACTGATATTCAAAACAACAATTGACGTATCAATCCGTTCTTTTCAATTTAAACTATTGTATAAAATTCTAGCCACAAAATGAATGCTCAATATATGGGGCATTGAACAGTCAGCACTGTGCAGACTCTGCCACTAGGAAACAGAATCAACAAATCATCTCTTTTGGTACTGTCCTTGAGTGGCTCGCTCTTTTGGAGTCAGGTCCAGGAATGATTGTTAACCCCCTAAGGTCGATGTCCGCGCCTCCGCGGAAATCAAATTAAGCTAGAGATCTGTTTTTTTTATTGGATGCGGCTAGGGCTGTGGCAGTTATGACATTTTGTCAGCCAGTGATTGTCCAGCAAATAACTGCCGGTCTCACAGTAATTGACCATTAATTAACATACACACATGTAGCATCTCCTGGCTTCCACACATAGCCTACAAGCCACAGATGCAGACCTTTAGAACATCTACATTTTAAAAAGTCTAATAAATACATGTAATATACCCTACACCTTCACAATAAATCCATTATTTATTTTAGACAGGTCTAAAGAAGCATGATATGAAGAAAATGTAGTCTATTTCAGAAAAACAGAATAGCATACTCTGAGTTGTCCTTATGTTAGGCCCTGATCTGGCTATGCCATATGGTTGTGGGCTACACTAATAATAGATTTGCTTAGAATTCCGTGGCATTTTTTTATATAATTTTGAACATAGCTGAATAAAATAGAAATTACATTTTCTTCAAACGATTTGGGGGAGTGTGCACAAGCGGCTATTCTGTGTTGAGTGGTTAACAAAGAAACAGGTACTCCAATATGCTTAATTTAGAGTTATTTATGTAACTTTAGTTGTGATACAAATGTTGGGCTATATGTTTCAAATTCTTATACGTTCTAAGGCTGCATGATGCAAAAAAGTCGCATAAAAAGGCATGAGCTCCGCTTTGTTTTTTGCACAGGCTGTACATACATCAGTCTCTCATTCACAATTTGACAAGCACTTAATAATGCCTAGATTTCCCCGGCAACATCCCCTCTGTGTGGCCGTAATGCCCCCTAAAAAAATCCACGCCTTTTGTGGCCAGTGGCTGTTGTGCCCTTGGGCTGACTATAATAATTATAATTCCCTTCTCCTGGCTGCGTGCTCCTTAGCACATCTCACTCACATGGCTCTCCATCTTTCTCACAGGCTACAAATAATAATATGCCATTTAGCAGACGCTTTTATCCAAAGCGACTTACAGTCATGCGTGCATACATTTTTGTGTATTGGTGGTCCCGGGGATCGAACCCACTACCTTCGCGTTACAAGCGCCGTGCTCTACCAGCTGAGCTACAGAGGACCACAAATGAACACAGACACATCAGGGACGCAACTGCGAGTGTCCTTGTACAATTCCGAGGTGCATATTGAAGATATTGGAAGAACTGTCCACATTTACTTTTCGTCAGCCAACAAGATGAGTAGGCCTAACGAACAGCAAAAGTACTAGCCTATGTCAATCTACTATCCCCCATAGTACAGAAGTTTACCTATTCTATTCTGGTCAACTTTTGTGGGATGCGATAGATCCCAAATAAATAAAAAATTTATGCAATGAGGCTGATGCAACAGATCAGAATGTTGATACACTATTTGTCTATTTCTTCACATTATAAGAGCAGCAATGTACACACGGCAGTAGGCTATAAGCGTGAATGTTCCATTAGCAGGAAAACACCGTTCTCAAAGGTGACTGCAAAAGCGATTATGCATGTAATGCTTTTATTATAAAGGTGCATTTTTATGGTGAAAATTATCTTCCTCAAACTTGAAACTCACGCGCTGCGTGTGTATGCCAGTTAGGCTCTACACCTGTTGTAAAGCGGATTAATGTCCTTAATTTTAAGAAGTTATTTGACCTTCTCTCATTCCTCACTTTCCTCATCCCTGACCACTAGCTGCGTCCCCTCTGACTTCAAAATGGTCAGAGTCGCTCCCCTCCTCAAGAAACCAACACTCGACTCATCTGACATCAAAAACTATAGACCTTTCTTTTCTTTCCAAAACACTTGAGCGTGCTGTCTCTAATCAACTCTCTCGTTATCTCAGAATGATCTTCTTGACCCTAACCAGTCAGGCTTCAAGACGGGTCACTCAACCGAGACTGCTCTTCTCTGTCACGGAGGCTGTCCGCACTGCAGATATCTCAGCTTGGATGTCGGCCCACCACCTCAAGCTCAACCTCGACAAGACGGAGCTGCTCTTCGTCCCGGGAAAGGCCTGCCCGCTCAAAGACCCCTCCATCACGGTTGACAACTCCACAGTGTCGCCCTCCCAGAGTGCAAAGAACCTTGGTGTGACCCTGGACAACACCCTGTCATTCTCTGCAAACATCAAAGCAGTGACTCACTCCTGCAGGTTCATGCTCTACCACATCCATAGAGTACGACCATACCTCACACAGGAAGTGGCGCAGATCCTAATCCAGGAACTTGTCATATCCCATCTGGACTACTGTAATCCGCTGTTGGCTGGGCTCCCCCCTTGCGCCATCAAACCCCTGCAACTTATCCAGAACATTGCAGCCCACCTGGTTTTCAACCTTCCCAAGTTATCCCGTGTCACTCCGCTCCGCCGCACACTCCACTGGCTTCCAGTCGAAGCTTGCATCCACTACAAGACCATGGTGCTTGCCTACTGAGCAGCAAGAGGAACTGCCCCCTACCTTCAGGCTATTCTCAAACCCTACACACCAACCCAAGCACTCCATTCTGTAATTTTGGTCTCTTGGCCCTCCCACCCCGCTCAGCCCAGCCCCTTCTCTGTCCTGGCAGGCTGGCACCCAAATGGTG